TTTATACTTATACCTCGGTGTTAGCCCTGCCGCCATCAGCTCCGTGCTAATCCGGGAGGAAGACGGCATCCAGCATGCCATCTTCTATGTCAGCAAGACCCTCCGGGAAGCCGAACTCAGATACTCTCCCATCGAGAAGACGGTGCTAGCCATCGTTTGGACCGTCAAGAAGCTTGGGCACTACTTTCAAGCTCATCCGGTCCAAGTCCTGACACATCAACCCCTCGGCGGCCTCATGAGAAGCCCCACAAGTTCTTCCCGAATGGTAAAATGGGCCATCTTCCTAAGCCAATACAACATTGACATCCGTCCGAGGCCTGCCATCAAGGGCCAAGCCCTGGCAGACTTCGTAACGGAATGTACCGCGAGATCAGCGGTGGATGAGGAGCCTTCGGCACCTTTAGACGAATGGTGGACCCTCTATACCGATGGCTCCTCAGCCACCAAAGCATGCGGAGGAGGGGTAGTCCTCATTACACCCGAAGGCTTCCGCGCATATTATGCCATTCGCTTCTCCTTCAAAGTCTCCAACAACGAAGCCGAGTATGAGGCCCTCCTCTGTGGCCTTCGGCTAGCAGCAAACCTGAAGGCTAAAATGATCCACGTCAAGTGCGACTCTAAACTTGTCGTGGGTCAAATCTCCGGGGAGTACGAGGCCAAGGAAGGAAGGATGAAGCAATACAAGGAGGCTGCCAAGGAGTTGCTTAAGGTATTTGAGGCACATTCCCTCACCCAAATACCGAGGGCTCAAAACTCTGAGGCCGACATTCTATCCAAGCTCTCGGATGAATCCCCCGAGCACCTCTAAAAAATTGCAAGAATCGAGGAGCTCAGCCTCTCAAGCATCCACGCAAGCCCCATTATGAACATTAACCTGAGACCGGAGGATTGGATCTCCGACATCACCACCTTCATCACCACAGGGCAACTACCCCAAGATGAGGCCCGCGCGAGATTGACAAAACTGAGGGCTCCCAGCTACACCCTCGAGAATGGAAGGCTTTACAAAAGATCTTACAACGGCACCCTCCTTCGGTGCCTTCATCAAGATGAAGCCGAAGTCGCTATGGAGGAAGTGCACAGTGGCACTTGCTCAGCTCACCAGGGGCCCTTCTCCATGTCCCGAAGGCTCGTTGTTCAAGGCTACTTCTGGCCCACGATGGCTAGAGATTGTGCTGATTTAGCCCGAAGGTGCACCGCTTGCCAGTACTTTCAGAAGGCTCCCGGCAGACCAGCGGTCAATTATGCCCCCATCAGCACCGCTATACCCTTCTCCAGATGGGGGATTGACTTAGTAGGCCCCCTGCCGAGGGGTACCTCCAACAACAGGTATATCATCATGGCCATTGACTACTTCACCAAATGGGTAGAGGCCGAGCCCCTCGCCAGCATCACCGAAGCCCGGTGCCGCCACTTTGTTCTCAAAAATATTCTCACAAGGTTTGGCGTCCCCCAACAAATCATATCCGACAACGGCACTCAATTCGAGGCAGCCCCCTTCTGTGCCCTCCTTGAAGCTTGGGGCATCAAGCACACATTCTCTTCCGTTGCCTACCCTCAAGGCAATGGACAAGTAGAGAATGCCAACCGCACCCTCCTCGAAGGGTTGAAGAAAAAGCTGGAAGCCGAAGGGGGAGGCTGGGTAGAAGAACTCCACAACATCTTGTGGGCCTACCGCACCACCCCTCGGCGTGCGACAGGCGAAACACCCTTCTCTCTATGCTATGGCTTCGAGGCTAAAGCTCCAACAGAAGTTACCCTTCCTACCCGAAGGGTGGAGCAATATGAACCCGAGGTCAACGAGGCCAACATGGCCCTCGATCTCCACCTCATATCGGAACGCCGAGAGCAAGCCTTCCTCAGGGCTGAAAACTATAGGAGACAAGTCAAAAGCTACATCGACGCCAAGGTCCGCTCCCGGGAATTTTAGGTGGGTGACTACGTCCTCCGAAGGAGGGAGGCCAGCCTACCCACCGAAGGCGGCAAGATGGCGCCTAAGTTTGAGGGCCCCTACATTGTCTCAGCCATCATCAAACCGGGGACATACAAGTTAAAACGTCCTAATGGGACAGAGATTCCTAGACATTGGAATGTGCACCACCTAGTAAAGTTTTATCAATGAGCGGCCAAGCCCTCATCCCCAACGAGTGTAAATGATCAATGGCCCAAGGCCCCATCTGTTTTTGAAGGATAATCAAAAGGCCAAGCCTTCACCACCTACATATTGTACAAGAGGCCCAAGGCCCCCTCATCTCTTCACCATAAAAGGCCCAAGGCCACTCCCTCTTGTGAGGGGGAACAACAATTTAGGTACCAAGTACCAAGTGTATGGGTCACCCCCATCACTCTTTGAAAACACCAAGTGTTTTCAAAAACTTTTACATATTCTCCCAAAAAAAAAAAAAAAAACGGGGGGCGTGACACCCCTCGGCTCCGGCTGGCACCAAGTGCCCCCGGCTATTTGTGTCCCACACACAAATAAAACCCTTCCCAGGAACGCTTTCCGCGCCATCCCCCAAGGGGAGGCAGGCAACGGACCATGTCCCGGGCCCAGGATTCGACTTCCACAAACGAAACGCTCCCCGCGCTATCCCCCAAGGGGAAGCAGGCAACAGACCATGTCTCGGGCTGAGGGGACGACTTTCAAAACCGAGGCGCTTTCCGCGCTATCTCCCAAGGGGAAGCAGGCAACAGACGGTGTCTCGGGCCGAGGAAACGACCCTCAAACCCTTCGGGATATCGGAAGGTCATTCCCGAAGGGGGAGCCGACGGTTTATTCCGTCGCCTCCCATATAGGCCAAGCCTTTCCTAGAAACCAAGTTTCTAGATGCCTCTCCTACATCATTTAAACAAAAAAAAAAATAAAAAAAAATAGAAAGATGTGTAGGGGGGAAGGAACTCCTTGGATGATATTCTTCCCGGAGGCTCAACACTTCGGATATCTATTCCCGAAGGCTGCTACAAATGCACAAGAAAATCTCTCAACAACAAGTCATCTGACTACATAGCCGAAGGGTTCACTACATGAAACCTTGGAGTACAAGATTTCCACCGGAGGCCCAAGAAGAAGGCTCACTAAGCAAAACTTCACCTAAATTTGGCTAAGGCCGAAATTCGGCTGGATCGAAGTCAACTATGTGACATGCCGAAGGCTCCACAAAGTTCTAAGGCAAGCTAAACCTATATCTGCACAAACCAGAGGCCTCATACCGAAGGCAGAATGTCACCAGGCTCATTCAACGATGAAAAAATTTCTAAGTCCACACACTGGCATCCTTTGGGAAACACTCATCGAATTGGGGGGCTACTCACAAGATCTGTTGGAAACACATCTCAGAATTTCACCAAGTCCATAATCTCGAATCCCTCGGCAACCATATGTACCGGGGGCTCAGACAGTTCCCACGCTCGAAGGTTCACTACATCACCTATTGAAACTTCGTGAAAAAGTGGCTAAGTCCACAGACGGGAACCCTTCGGGAAGCAATTCTTCAACTACACACTCGAGGCCGATGGCCCCCTAAACTACTTGGCAATGACCTAAGGCTACGCCACAGCCAAAGGCTCGTCACCGCCGAGGGCTTCCGGCTACGAACCGGGGGCAAATCAAATGGCTAGTCACCGAAGACATACGCTGGGATCTTACCCAGAAAATTTCCTAAGTCCACAGCTTCAAGCCTCCGGCTAACCTACTCTACAACCGAGGACTCAGACAAGGATTTCACTTAGGAAATTTTCTAAGTCCACAGCTTCAAGCCCCCCCGGTGGTCCTACGCTATGGCCGAGGGCTCATGACAAAGTTCTTACTTAGAAAATTTTCTAAGTCCACAAACTCGTGGCCTTCGATCAGACACATGAGACAAAAGGAAAAGCATACAATCATACACAGAAGCAAGTAAGCAAATGCCGAAGACATTACAGAAAGTAACCAGAAGCATTCATATCAAGAAGCCCGGAGGCGAAGCATTCACCATGGGGAAGAAACAATGAGTACAAAAGATATTCATTACAATGTCAGGCCGGAGCCGAAAGCTATTACAAACCACTGCAAAACTTTAATTGGAAAATTCCTAAGTCTAAGCTTCCTCCACGACGTCCCCTTTCGGCTTCGAGGAGGCATCTTCCTCGGCTCCGTCATCATCAGAATCGCATTTGGCTAGCTCCGAGTCCTCGAGCAATTGCCTCTCTTCGCCCTCAGGTAGGGGGATTCTCACGTCGGGAAGAAGAGGGGGAAGGCCATAGTTCTCCGATTTGAAATCCTTCGGCTCCACCCCATGATGCCGAGCCAGCTTTCGGTAGAGCATGGCCTGGGTGAAGTATTGGCCGCCCTCATAAAAACTTTTGCCCTTCAGGGCCAACCACATCGCCCCGGGGCCTTTCACCCAGGCATCAGCCGATGCCTCTACCACCGAAGCCCTCCACTGCTCTCGGCCCTCCGCTTTCCATCCCTCATCAAGGAAGGAGGCTATGGAATCCTCCGCAGCTTTGGCGACGGCCTCGGCCCTTACTCTGTCGGCCTCTTCAGCGGCTACCTTGGCGGCTTCAGCAGCGGCTTTCTCTGCCTCAGCCTTCCCTATGGCAATGCCCTTGACCCTAGCTTCACTCTTCGCAGCCTCCAGCTTCTGCTCGGATTGCCGAAGGGCCTCCTCCAAACAGGCCAGCTGCCGGATAGCCTCAGTATTGTTGGCAACGAGCTTCCTCGTAACCTCATCGGCTTTCGCTTTCTCGAGGCGGTGTTGTTCCGCCCTCCTGACAAGCTCTCCGAAGGCCACGCTAGCCTGCAAACAAACGAAGGGGCAGCCAAGGTCAAATTATGTGAAGGGAAGGAGCACTGAAACATAAAGTAGAAAGGGTCTGGACACTTACAGTGACCGAGGCCTGAAGAGCCTTCAGCTCAAGGGATTCGTCCTCAAACCTACTAAGGGTGGACCGATCCAGAGAAGGAGTGGCACCCCTCAGAAACTCCCTCGGGTCGAGGGTGCCATGCATAATGGCTGTCCCCTTCTTGATGGGGAAATGTATAGTCTCCAGGGGCCAGGCACCATCACCAAGATCCTCCAGGGGGATGGAGTTTGCGGGCTTCACCGGGGAGGACTCATCGACAATCACTACAGGGGAAGCTTTCTGGCCAGCATCCCCCTTCAATTTCTTCTTTTCCGGAGGCTTGATGCCCTTCCCGGCATTTTTTCTCTTTAGTTCTCCCGCCTGGGAGCCTCCGGTGTCTTTACCGGTATCAGCAGCAGCAGCCTCCTTGGAAGGCCCTACCTTCTCTTGACCCTCGCCCCCAGGGGTCTTATCCTTCTTGACGAAGGCATCCACGTGCTGCAGAGCCGGGGGCCCTTCGTCTTTCTTCTTATTGTCTTTGGCCAGTTGTTTGGATAACTTAGCAAACGCCTTCGGGTCCATGCTATTGCCTGCAAAGATCAAGGAAGAGTGAGGAAAAAACAGATTAAAGACAAAAATTACTAGGTACCAAAGCCAGGGGCCCTCGGTAACAACCTCTGGCATCCTGGAAGCACCGGTCAATGAGAGGATATCTCTCATCCTTCTCCCATGGCAAGCGGTACCGCCGGAATTCCAGCTTGAACAGCTCCTCCGGGAGCGTTGCGGCCTTGATGGTCGTCAACTTCTGGGAACCCAGCGGTTTCGCCGTTAGCTTCTTTCCGTTGCCCTCAAGAGCGGCATTACCAACCTTGGGGTGTCTCCGGAAGTGGTTGCGAAGGGGCCTCGGAAAAGAAGCTCCCGGCATCCTTAGATAACAAAAGCGGTCCTTCCATCCCTTGTGAGACGAGGGCACTTCAGAGAACAGCCTCCATGACGGCAGCTGTTGTAGATTGGCAAAGCCCTCGCTGTTGGCAGCCCCCCCTCGGCAAAGATTAAAGGACAGGAAAAACTGGTCAAGGGAAGGCTCCACCCCCCGGGAGTCACACAGAGAGAGGAACCCCGCCAGGTATGAGTGGCTGTTAGGGGTTAACTGACAGGGAGCGAGGCCTACGAACCGGAGGTATTCCACAACGAAGGGGTGCAAAGGGAAACAGAGGCCCAACTCCACCGAAAGGATATGCACGGCAAAGCAGCCTTCGGGGGGGGGATAGCAGCACGTCATCAGGACCTGGCTCCACCACCTGTGCCGACGGCCCGACCAGAAGTTGGGTCTTGAGGTATTCTGCCTCCCCGGCCTTCGTCTTCAATTCAAGTGCGGCCGTATTAAGGTAGGAATGCCCTTCGGGAATTCCGACCGACTGCCCCGCATCTACCGCAGCCTGTTTCTTCTTCTGGACAGCCTTCTGCTTCTTCCTCTTCTTCCCCGAAGCTACCCGAAGGGGCACAGCGTCAATCGGCCGGGAGCTGCTCGCTTCGCCAGCATTCCGCAGTGGCAGAACAGCAACGGTAACTCGTTGCCTCTCCTTCTCCTCCTCCTCCTCCTCCTCGGCTACCTGAAGTGCGAGGGCCATCTCCTCGTCCTCCGCGATCTGCTCGAAGTCTTCAGCTTCGGCCTCGGCATGAAGATTTCTTTGCATCTCCCTCGCCACCTCGGAGTCATTGTTCGACAAGGCCCCCTCACTTGATGACCCCGTGTCCGAGTAGCTGTCGGATTGTGCCGGGGCCTCCTCCGATATGTTTTGAGAGTCGCTTTCGGAAGACATGTTCTTAAAGGGGTTCTAGACGAAGGCTCAAAACACTAGATCTAAGGAATGGGAAGCAAAATATACTAAGGAGATCAAGAGCAGGCGAGGAACTAACCTTAAAAGCTCGTTTTGATGAGAGGAAGGGCTTTCTCTCTCTAGAAAATTTTCACCAGAGCTTCGCTAACAATGAGACGCACAAGGGAAATGAGGTCCGGCCTTGGGTATTTATAGGCAGATGGGCCTCGATATATGGGCCTCGACTTGAAAAGCCCATCATTACGGGCCGCCGGTTCGACCAATGGATGGCTCCCGCCCACCTTCAACCAACGAACATGCGCCACGTGGAACCCTCTCCCAACGGCTATATTACAACGACTATATTTCGTCAATACTGGGGGTGCCCTCGAATGATAGCCTCCGGCTATCACTCACCACAGCCTTCTGCCTACGAAATTCACCAAGCTTTCGGCTCGTCAATGTTACCACCCCTCGGTAGCTCACCAACGCATCATGACTCCTTCAGCCCGAACTTGCCTTCGGCCTAAAGGAGTGGGGGACTGGGACACACCCCTCGGTAATCACACGTGACTAAAAACAAAAATTCCCACGAATAACGCGTGTAGCCCTCGGGTACATGCATCATTGCACCCTTCGGTAGAGGCCTAAAATCAAAAATGTTCCACAAAGTCACTGACGATAATGAAACAGCCTTCATCACAACACATACAGATATTATTTACGCCTCCCTCAGAAAACCCCCGATATGTGAGGGACTTAGGAGAGGCTCCGGCATTCATACAAGCGTTATACTTCCTTCAGAAAACCCTCGGCATGTGAGGGACTGAGGGAAGCCTTCGGCTATCAGCAGAAGGCAAGTTCTCCAGCAAAGGCACCCAGCGAAACGATGAAGCCTCCGGAAGAATCAAAACAACTACTCCTTTTCCCTCAAGTACCTTTCGGCAAAAGGAGTGAGGGACTCCTGATGGAGTATATGGTCCAGGAACCCCCGGCCCATAGACTCCTACTTCTCCTACACAAGTCCACTGAGCCCAGGAAACAACTCAGGCCCAAATACAACGGCCCAAGCCTCAAAATAGCTCAGAATACACACTGGGATGCCTTCGGCCTCTTTGGCCGAAGGCTCTAGAACTCACAGGATAGCCTTTTTGGCATAAGAAGCTGCTGGGAGAAAACGGGCGAAAACATGAGCCTTCGGCATTGTCATGCCCTCGGCACCAGGGGAAGCCTTCGGCTGAACCAAGCCTTCGGCCACACAAGGCTTTCGGCTGCACAGGGGTCCTTGGTCACATGGAACCCTCGGCCACACAAGGAGCCTTCGGCCAAACATGCTCAATCATCGAAGATTCCTTTTGGAGACAGCCAACCACCGCATTTAATGCCACGTCACATCCGCCAACCGCATTCAATGCGGTGAACGTACCTCTGCCGGTGCCACCCGGCTGATGTGACCCCTCGGCCGCCGGATTACTGACACGTGTACTCTTATCGCATTTATTGCTGCTATAAATAGCAGCCCATTTCTCCTTGTAAATAATCAACATCTACATCCCAACTCCACACGCTGAGTTCATTTAATAAAATCGACTCTCTCTCCTCCTATTTTGCTCTGACCTCTCTCTAGTTATTCCCGCAATAACCCCTCGGATAAGATACCCCCGGGTAGACTATCCATCAAAAATATATTTTAAAAATATTTTTTCTTAAATCATTAAAATCAACTAATGCAGCCACTTCAGCAAGAACTTCATAAATTTCAGCAGAATAAACCAAAACAATCGATTTTTGTGCTACCAAACAGTTCCAAATTGTAAATTTAATTTTGTCCCGTGCATCGCACGGGTAAATAGTGAGGATAAAATTTTAGAAGTATACAAAATTAATTGATACTTTTGAATTAATATGTTGGATTAGTACTGATCAAATATGATTTCATTAGTAAATTATGTGTACATATACTTTGATTATAAATATCTGAAATATAAAGTATATATCTCAATACTGTTATATTCTCCACAATAATAGAAAACTAGTATTATCATTAGCACTAAGAAAAATAAATAAATTTATTTATTTTCAATTGTTTTAATTTTGATTTTTTCGTAGTGATTATGTATACATTTTGGAATAAATTCTCCTCAACATGCATCATACTTCCAATAGGAATATAAACATATTATATTCCTATTCACATGTTCATACAAATAGGGCCAAAAAACATACACAAATAATAGTAATTGTAATATTAAGAAGACTCCTACTACATTAATACTCTAAAGAAATTATATCATTATTTTGTAAATTTATGTCATGATTACCTTTATGATATAAGAAAACAAATAATAGACAATATATTTGCATATCATTTAACAATTGTTAAGAATCTAGAATTTATTTCCTAACACGTGATAGAGAATAATTCGATTAATTATATATACATAGTAATGACACATGACATGCTTAAATGATTGGGATTATATGTTCTAAAAAAGTTCATCACTAATATATGTATTGACTGATTTATAAAGAAAGATGAAGAGATGATTAAATTCAATTTTGCTAATGTGACATTTAAGTTTTAAACCTGAAATATTAATATCCAGGTAGTCAAATTATATGTATTTTATGGAAAACATGATAACTACATGGTTAATATAAACATTGAACAAACATATAATGATCATGTAGTTAACAATTGCTCAAAATATGTGTAAAACTTGAAAAAAGTAAATATGTTTATTTCCAATATGTGAGTCACGTCTTGCATAGTGTTAATAAATGACTAAAACTCTAAAGCAATCTCTTTTTAAGAGTGAATGAGCTTTATTTTTAAAAATAATAAAATGATGATGGTCCTATTTGAGCAACATGCTATTTGTACTCTTATAAATATCAAAGTATATCCTCTGCTTTAATTTTGTTCATTAATTTATTTAATTAATATTTTCATTGGAGTGTAGTTTTTTATTTTCATTTTATTTCCAACTTTTTTTTGAACGAATTACAACTATTTAAATAATATGATATTCCATAATTATTTTTCATATGTATAATTTTAAATTCACTTTATGTCTTTTGAATTATTAATGACATCTTTTTAAAATTCTCAGAGTTGATTTGGACTTTACTCATACCTAACTACATGTCTTGAAAAGTCCTACCCCCACACATATTTTAACCAATTTGCTAAACACATTTATACATATTTTTTTATATTAAAAATAGAAGTGAGAATTCTCATTAAAATTCAGAAATCATATAAACTAAACTAAAGCATATCATTGATGTCCTCTCATTCTAACTAGTGATAAAAATGCATTCAAATCAAATATAACTAGTGAGATGCCCCAATGTCAAGTAATAAAACAATAACTAGTATATCAGTAATTATCAATAATGAGGAATTAATGATCAAATTCGTCTTCATTTTGCACAAACCCTTTCATTGCTAATGCTCTATCAAAATGTCCTCCTTTGCTCTTACAAACATTAATCCCATTGTCAAATTCTCCATGATAAAAAGTCTCAACACATTTCTGGAACTCATCCATAACCAATTGATCCAATTGAATGTTTGCATCCTTATAAAATTAGCAACGATTCAAAAAATATGCAGTTAAATGCAATGCACTATCTAACCTATCTTTCATAATTTCATTAACAATATCAAGAATAGATTGATAGTTTCTCTCCAAATACCCATTGATGGTTTATCCCCATCTGCAAGCCGAAGAGCATTCACTAAAGGACCATTAATGCTTACACACAAGGTTACAAAACTCCAAAAGCTTGAACTCATCATGGGTGTTAAGGCAAGTTTACCAAGGTCTGCTATTAAATGCTTGCACGCATCCCGTGGCGGGGCCACTTTAGTGCAAAAGTGTTCACTTGAACACCTAGTTTTTTGCAAAAAGTGTTAGTAAAC